CCCCAAAACCCCAAAACCCCAAAACCCCAAAACCCCGAAGGAGCCAGCCAAGATTGAAAGACAGCTTGTGTGTGAACTAGGTAATGTATTGAGAGACTGAGCTATTTGTTACCATAGAGTGCAGCTGTCTTTTTCATTTGGTTCTTAGTAGCGAAGGCTCAGAAAGAGAAATCAGGTGACCAGAAGAACTTCTTACATCTTTTGTTAGTGCTTGCAAGCTGCTGCTCAGTAAGTCTTCACTCTTCGAGGATCCTCTTTCTTAGCCTACTGTAGGATTTCTCAGAAGATTCTGATTTCTTTAACTTATTTTTCTTAATTGGGTTAGATGAGCTGTATCTCTTCTTTCCTATTTTCTCCCCAATATTGGTATCTACAGCCCGAGGTTAGGAACACAAAATACAACAGCCGGTCCCAGATAGGGCCTAACACTTACCATGCAATGAGTAAGAAGAGTGATTGATTGGTGCTTTTGTTGCGACTGAGTAATTTCCTTTATTAAATTTCCTCGTAATATCGCTAGTCATTGGTCTAATGCTTGATTCCCTTTTCATGTTCTTTTCCTGTATAGTCATGTTCATAGCCCGAGTCAGAGCTTTTGTTTTCATTTTAATCCCTATCAAAGACTTATTGCTCTGAAATCTCTTCTTAGATAAAGAAGTGTAGGTCTTCCTTCCCGGTCTGTTCTTGAAAGTATTGTGTATAGCTCTCATTTCTTGGTCTTCTTCGTAGATACGAATAATACGCTTTGAATAAACCCGTGGCCGCTTTTTAGAACTACTGGTACTTGGGAGATAGTCTTGGTACATTACACTGAGCCTTTGATTTCCTTTAAATGACCCTTTATTGGAACCAAATCCTTCGAAAGTGCTACTCAACCTCTTAGACTTTCCAGTACTTCTATTCTTATTAGGGATAGCCTCATCATTCTTAAATGTGACATTTTCAAGTTCAAGGTTCGTGATCAACTTGTTATTCAATGGCTTTGATAATGTCTGGTAGGGATCGTCAAAAATCCCACGGTTCATTCTATTTATATAAAGTTAGATAAAATCTCAATTTTTATTTAAAAATTCTTAATGGTAGTTTTCTCAACAATTTTAGCCGATTTGTTAAATGCCTAGACTCAGAAGTTCATAGAAATGCACAAGGTAAATTCATTATTAATTTGGCACAACTTACTGCTGAAATTCCTGAGATTTATTAATAGGAGAAACTGAGTTAGCCAAGGTAGCCTTCTTCTTGTTGAAATGAAAGCCATTTCTCTTCATCTGTCCATTCTTAAGTCTCTTCAGCTTTAGCAAGCTGGGGTTGTAGTTTTTCTTGATCCTTGACATGTGGCTTTGGAAGTTCCTATTTAATTTTCTTGAACCTGTCTTTTCTCTTGATATTATATCCCATTGGCGTAGTCTCGCGCTCACAATTATCTCTACTCTTGTTCATATTTTCTGTTTCCATTTGAATTTTATTTTAATTTTATAACAAATACACTTCTTGGGGTTTTGGGGTTTTGGGGTTTTGGGGTTTTGGGG